AACCCATATTTCCTGCTTCCTCTCTCCTTTGCACCGCCAACCAACCTGCCTTTTATCTGGCTTTCATCTTCATCTATATTTATTATTTGTACCTCACCTTTCTCCCAATGGGGACCCAAAGCAGATTGTATAATTCTCCTCCATTTTATCCCCACAATCCTCTGAGGTAAGCAAGACTGAGAATGTATAACTGGTACAAGGTCACCCATGCTTCCATGGCAGAGCAATGATTTGAAACCTGGTCTCCCAGATGCTAGTTTGAAAACTCTAACCACCAGGGCTTTTTTTGTAGAAAAAGACCAGCAGGAACTCATTAACATAATAGGCCACACCCAACAGCTAAAACTCATTAGCATATTAGGCCACACCCCTGACAGTGCAGCTCATTAGCTTTTAGGCCACACCCCAATGCCTTCCCTTGGCTTTCCTAGGCACCCCCAGCTGCGCGGAGCCCGGGCAAGGCCCCCATTGAAGGGAAGGGAAGGCAGTTTAAACTGCCTTCCCTTAGCTTGCCCGGGTGCCCCACAGACAGGCCAGGGAAGACACATGGGAGGCATTTAAATGCCTCCCCGATCCTTCCATGCCCCCCCGGTCCACCCGCCTCGAAGTTGCCGGGGAGGGGGTCGCTCTCCAGGCCTTCCCTTTGTAACCACGCACACAGAGGTTTTGGCTGTAGTGGGCGTGGCCAACTCTGAAGCCAGCCAGAACTCCATTCCTGTGCATTCCTACCCAAAAATAGCCCTGCTAGCCACTATACCAAACTGGCTTTCATAGAGTGGCTGTTGTTGAACAGTAGCAAGCAGGCAGGCCTAGGTAAGTCATGAAAGTACCATGGTATAAGTAGTTGCTGCCAAACCTGGCCCCACTGAGACCTCCCTCAAAAACCAGAGCAGGTCTGGAAATGGTCCTGCCATCATCACAACCACCACCCCACCTTTTACTGACAGAAAACAAAGCCCTTGAGGACATCCTATTAAGTTGATGTGCAGTATATTCAGGACAGACAATAAAGGAAATAATTCTTTACCTAATGTTTGATTAAAAGGTGGCATTTACTGCCAGAGGATGTGATGAGGGTGATAAACATATACTGCTTCAAAAAGGAACTAGACAGATTCATAGGGCTTTCTTGGTGGCGGCTCCTACCTGGTGGAATGAGCTCCCGGAGGAGATCCGGGCCCTGCGGGACCTTTCACAGTTTCGCAGGGCTTGCAAGACGGAGCTCTTCCACCAGGCTTTTGAATAGGAGCCACCGCCACCACTATTCCATCTTTGTTATTTCTACATCATCGCACCCCCCATCATCATCCATGTGGGTACCATCGGGGTGCGAGACGACCCTGGATTGAGGATGACAGCGCTACTGGAACATACATTGGCTTGGGATTAACTCCATTTTGGGATAAATGACTGACGTGATATCTAGAGCACCAATATTTTATTGGATTGTATTATATTGTTTTATCCTGTTTTTATTTCTTTTAATGTTGGCATTCTTGCCATCTTGTTAGCCGCCCTGAGCCTTCGGGGAGGGCGGGGTATAAATCTAATAAATAAATAAATAGGAAACAGGTTCATCAGTGAGTACAGGATGGTGGACTGGATGGACCAGTGGTCTGATCCAGCAAGGCTCTTCTTATGTTCTTATGTTTATGAAGGCTTCATGGCTGCCTAGCAATAGCCACTGAGAGCATTCATTTCTTAAAACTACAGGTGCTGCTTCCATTATTTTAGGGGGGGTTAACCCACCCCCATTTTTTTTTTTTAAGATTTCAGATTTTTCTGCAAACCTGGGGCTTTTTCAGGTTTGTAGAAAGATACCTTGTCCATTTATGGTTGCAGGCTCTGAAATCATTCATACATTTGACCATGTTGAGAATTAGGCTTATTGATGATAACAAACCATATTATATTTTTAAAAACACTTCTTACCACAACAATTCTTCCCTGTCAATTCCCTAGGACTACATTCTGCTTGCTATCATGGCCACATCCGTCTTGTCCAGTTCTTACTGGACAATGGAGCTGATATGAATCTCGTAGCCTGTGATCCCAGCAGGTCTAGTGGTGAAAAAGATGAACAGACCTGTTTGATGTGGGCATATGAAAAAGGTACTGTTATGTTTCCATTTTCAACATTAAAAACACAGCATTATAGATCAGATAGGATAGGGCTGCTGTTAGAAAAACAAGTCAGCTCATGCTGAGAATGCCTGTTACTATGTTCTGACTTCTGACATTTCAAGGGCAAGAAATATGAAATTTGGAATTGCTGCCCTCAGAAAGTCTAGCATGCTAACCAAAGCTTTAATTCCATACAAACGTTGTCATAAGCCTCCTCAGTTCCAATAAAATAAATATCCTAATTTCTACCCATTCAAATAAAGGCCATTTCAGCCTGTAAAGTATAGACAAGGCTTTAGGACTAAACTCTTTTTTCCCCCCTGTTATCACTGAACAAGGTACGACAGACAGCATTAGAATGCAGTTATCCATGAAGTCCATTAGAAAAGCAGGGACTGCTATTGATTTGATGTGGAAGGAAACTCCAGTTCTACTGTGATGGGCAGCAGCATAAAACCCTTTTACAGATAGATAGTTATCCTTGATTTCCTGCAGACATTCTTCAAAGAAACTGCATATCTCTGTGGTTTCTGCTGTGCTCTATGTTCTTTACACATTTCACAGATCTGTCCTGGCAACAGCTCAGATTCTTGTTCTGCTTCTCTTTGTCCTCCAAATGCAACTAGAAATCTATTGGTTTTTAGAAGCTATTTCCTTTGTGCTCATTTTTTCCAGGGCCAGAATATGTTTTCCTTCCAAAAAACATACGTGAAATTATCTTTCCTCATTCTACAGCCATAAATAAGCAGCAATACCTGAGCACTTTAAAACACTATATTAATTCCAGATGGTATATGAGTGGAAGATCCAGGAGTGGTTGGTTCACCGGTGGCCAAATTCATTATTGTGATTGTTCGCATTTAATCTGCCTTTTACACCTTAGAGTAGACAAAAAAGAAGACCCGCGAAACTCGCGGGGGGGGGCGGGGGAGCACAAAACTCAGCAGGCGGAGGAGGAACCAGCAGGAGCAGGTAAGCTTCCCCCCCCCATACTGCCGGTTCCTCCGTCTCCCCCCCACTCGATCACTCCCACCCGCCTCCTCCCCCAGCTCCGTACTGAGGCCCGAGCGGCTTGCAGCCGCC